ATTGCATTCCACAGAGTTGCTCAGCGTGTTCAAATTGCTGGAATTTTGGCAATAGGTGGTGAACCTCTGGATTATTTTTCTTTAAAATTAAAAGGTTTGATAATTTGTGTCATAAAAAGTGAAAAAATCCCAGGGGTACTGTAGGAAAAAAGTCTGTATCAAATGAAGATTAAAAGAATCCCTCAATTAGTTTGAATCCAGATAAAAATCTGGATGTTGCTTTTGGTTCTCACCCAGTTTTCAACGTGTCAGAAGAAGAGAATTAACTGTGTTTGGAGGGTACATTTGGCAGTCAAGGAATGCACTGCAGCTAAAAGGAAAGAGAAAAATCTTAACTCCAGTATCTCCACATAGAAATTGAAAGTTTTTTTGATCATTACGTGATTTTTATTAGAAACAGATTATATCTACTACTGTATTTGTTGGTATTTAAGTTGTTTTATTGGGAAAGAAGAACGAAGCAGTGGAGCAAAGGACTCCAGAAGGTAAATGTGCTGGGAGGAGAAGCTTCAGAACCCATTGCAACTCCTCCTATTTGTCTTCTCAAGTTCAAATAGTCAAATACTCCCCATTTTACAGGGCAACGTGCAGGCAACATTTGCTTTTGGCTCTCAGTCTCCCTGTGGGCCGCTCTGAATCCACCAGAATGAAGATCTTAACGTGCACTTACTTGAAATATCTTCTCAGTGTGAGTTCTTAATAGATACATTCGTTTAAGGTGGAAGGAAAGGTGAGGGATTTGTTCAGAGAAATCAGGCTGGGCCCTCTGGCTCCTTGAGGGGAGCGTTGTGTCCCCTCCGGCTGTTTGTTTTGGGGGAGTTTCCTTCCAGGCTTATTTTTGCCACTCACCTGGAGGATGTGTGTGTGTTTGTGCATTCATCTTGTGTTTTTAAGGGTTCTTGCATCACAACAGCATCAAGAAACATCAGTCACAGTCGCTTTCCATGGTTGGAAAGGGAAGGTGCCAGAGGCATTTTCCAGTGTTCCTTTTCTGTGAGGATTTCAGTTCTCCTGATAAGTCATTACCATATATTTTATTAGCACTGAGCTCATAAGGGAAGGATCAGAAATCCATAATGTATTTTAGGAGGCTCAAGATTCCTACAAATAGTCAGCAGTCAACTATTAAAATAGTTACATTTTGCTTCAAAATAGTTGTTGTTTCCCATGTGGGCTTTTCCCTGAGTGACTGTGGGAGATCACATAAAATGACACCCAGATCATCTGTGTCTGTTGCAACCTGTTTGTATTTTAAAATAACATTAAAAAGCTGACTCTTTTAAAGTTAAATACAGGAAAACAGTAATTTCCAAGTTAATGAAGCGTGGTGTCAGGAAAGAAGTGGTTTATGAGATACCAGGAAGAAATTCTTGGCTGTGAGGGTGGTTTGGCCCTGGCACAGGTTGCCCAGACAAGCTGTGGCTGCCCCATCCCTGGAAGGGTTCAAGGGCTTGGAGCAACCTGGGATAGTGGGAGATGTCCCTGCCCATGGCAGGGGAGTGGAACAAGACGATCTTTAAGGTCCCATCCAACCCAAACCGATCTGTGATTCCATGATTTACATACATAAACCCCCCAAAGCAGCCGTGACGTGTCATGCACGGAACAGCCTTTAAAAATAGCTGAACACTGATTAACTCACCCTCCTTCTCCTGCATCCATGCATTTTGTAGGAGCTCTGGCTGCTACGGGAAGCACAGCCTGCATCATCCCATGCACAAATGTTCCTCCCAGCCGTTCCTGCTCACAGCTCTTTGCTCTCAGGCGTTCTCAGAACGTCCCTCCAAGAGGAGCAGCAGAGCTGAAGGCTGAGCCCCAGCTCCCAGTGAGTCACTGCCGAGGAGGGTTGAATTCCCACTTCTTGTCGGTAGAAATGAACGTTTGAAGACCACTCTGGTCTCCACATGGTGTATAAAGCTGTTAACTTGTTGCAATCAGTTTAATTCTTCTCATTTCCTTAATTGCTGTTCAGAACTTGGCATCAGAAAGCAAATGTGCCAGTGATGAAAAGGCAGTGAAGTGCTTTGAAACAACCAAATTACATTAATTCTGGCAGATTGTCTTGATCATCCACTGCTCTGAACTCCAGATCCTCTCTACACCCTTCTTCCTCTTAACTTCCATTTATTCACAGAGGAGTTTATGGTGTTGTCAGTGTATTTACAACACAAGAGGCAGATCAGCCCCTGGTAGCCTCACCTGACTGAGTTGCTGGTGAACTGTGCTGGTGGGAGGAGATCCATTCTTCCTTTTGCAGAAGAAACCCTTTCATCCTCTGTGCTCCCACTCAGCTCTAAAGGTTGGCACCCACAGAAGGTTTAACATCCCTTCTGGAGAGTAAATGATGAGTCAGGCTGACAGAGCCACATTCTTGGTTAAAATCATGGCAAAGCTCGGGGTGAATTAAGTGGCTTGAAACCAAATGAAGCAAAGCCAGTTACAAGTTTTCTACTTGTGTTTCTGTGTGGTTTGTGTTATTTGCTGGTTGTTACTCTCAAAATAATTGTAGGCAATATGTGAACACTGTTAGTGTTGCTTGGAAGGCTGTAAGAAATAGAGTTGGGAAAGGAATGTGTCCTTTATACAGAGATAGTGTGTGATCGTGGTTGATTTGATTGTTTTCCTGCTTCCAGAATTTTCTAACTGACGTGACCTGCTAATCAGAAAGGAGGGAAAACGTCTCAAACCCATAAAATTTCAATCTTCTAATTAGAGAAAGGGCTTTTTAAATTATTTTTATTTAAATGAAATTCAGCCTCTCATCGTGAAACTATAAAAAGATTTTCTCGTGTTGCATTTAGTTGTGGGTATTGGATGAACAGCAGACAGGTCTCAGTTTTGAGCATAAATGTCTGGGTAGGAGCAGAGTCACCCTGGTTCCTGCTGGAAATCCATGCTGGCAATTTTAACTCTCCAGCCCCTCCCTGATGGTGATCACAGGATGTGGCACCAACATTTCTCAGGTGTTTCCTTGACTTGGGGTGCAGATTTGAGGTTGCTGATGGTTGATGTATTCTAATAACTCAGACAGTAGACACTCCAAACAGATAACCCTGATAAAAACGTGACCTCTGATAAAAATCCAGGTACCCTGATGTTGTAGTGAAGGTATCCAGGAGGGGTTGGTCTTTTCATCTTTCCATTTTGCTTTTCCTTCTGGTGAAAATCCTCACTCTCAGTGAAATGGTTCCATTCTGACTACGAGGGTGCTGTTTCTAACCTACATTTGTGCTGCTCTGACCCAGAGTTCTGGCTTGGCACTGCACCCACACGAAAGAAATGGCTTTAATTCAACTCTTCAGAAACATTTCTGGAGGTTTACTGCTATTTGCATTTATTTATCCTGCGCAGTTTGAGCCATATTGCCTTTCACCAGCAAACATCCCGGGAGATGGTGGAAATTTCTGGATCTTGGAGTGGGTTTGCGGTTGAGATGGGAGAGAAAAGAGCCCTGGTTTCTATAGCAATCCTTCACTTGCTAACCTGGAAGAACATGCTCATTCCATAGATAACAACTGCTTTTCCTTATATAATCCCTGTGCTAACTGATGCTCTCCTGTGTTGGGATCACACGTTTCATTTCCTCCGGTTATTGCCCAAAATAAAAACAGGGAAGTGAGACACAGATGCTGCCTCTGCCTTGATTGTAGGTGAGCCCTGTTGGGGTTAGAAGGATTTCAGTGAATTCATTCTGATGCTGGGCAGATTGTTTTCTGCTTAGCAAGCCACCAGCACATTCATTCCCATTTCCCTGCCCCTTTTCCTGCCTGGAAGCTGAAAGTTTACAGACTGCAGAGACGACTGAAATGTAAATTGCTCTTCTGGTTTCCTTCTGGAGCTGCTTGTCACTTGCCTGTTTATTTTTAATAATGGAATGATAAGATTTTTTGACACGTACTGGACATCTTTCCTCTGAGGCAGCTGCAGTCCTGCCTGTGCAGACTGCCAGGCTGGCAGGGGGAAAGTGCCATTCAGAAAGCATTGCAGGGAAAAAGGGTTATTTTTATTTATTTTTGTTTTCCTGGTCTCTGCTAGAAGCTCAAAATTCCTGAAGATACGTAGATGTTATTTCCCCTCCCACCCACTGATAAATTGACTTTATTTTATAATGATTTTCACTCAAATAAAAGCAAAGCTTTATTTCACCTATGGGTTACCATCAAGTTCATCTCCTTGAGGTTTCAAGTTGTCAAGATAAAGGAATTTATAATAATAAATTATAGGAGTGACTCTGAAATTGCTTGCAAATATAAGCTGAAATCAAACATTGGAGCTTAATCACAAACCAGATACTGCCTGGAGCATCAAAGCCAGGAATGACTGGAGAAAGGATTGTTCTGCAACCTGAGCTAAAACTGGGCTAAGAAAGATGAGTTAAGCAAAAGAAAAAGCCCCAGACAAGCAGAGAACCCAACCCACAAACCCCTTGAGTTCCTGTGAATTGTTTCACTCTTGGAAATAACAGAGCTCTTCTGGGTGAGAGAAGTATGTGAAGTGTGTTGGTGTTTTCATTGTGAGGCTCCCACATTCCTCCTGTCATGGACTGATGCCTTCCCTGACCTGCATTTCCTTTTTCTCCTCCTGAGGTACCACTTCAGTCTCCTCAGGACATTTTGTTTCCTGCACATTTCACCGTTCCCTGGGTGCAGAGCCAGGTGGAAAAGTGCTTTGGGTTTGGGTTCAGTTCTTGCTCTGAGGTTTTTTGGACAAATAAAGGGTTGCTTTGTATGTTTGCTCTTCTCATTTCTGACTGTGTTTGTTTGTTTTCCCAGCCTGAGGAAGAGCTCGATCCTGAAGAGAGGGACAACTTCCTCCAACAGCTTTACAAGTTTATGGAAGACAGAGGTAAAGCTGCAATTCTTCTCTTTTTTTCTCTCCGGTCCACTTTTTTAACAGCACAGCATTCAAAAGGAAACTCAAATCCTCCCTGAGGTGTTCTGGGGTTTGTTTGGCTTTCACAAAGCCTTTTTTTATGTCAGCACTGCCCTGCTAAATAAGCTCTTGGTTGATTCCTTGCTGGGACAGCCTGGCTGGGAGTTGTGCTGATGAAATCCAAGCAGGAGAGGGTGGGAGATGAGCCATGGGCAGAGCTCTGACCGTGCAGAGATGTTGCAGCAACACCTGAACAGGCAACTCAAGCAGCTCTGCTTCCTTCTGTACCCAGAACAGGAGAACAGGATTATTTTAAATGCCTGTCTTTGCAGAACTAAGCGAGATTTAATAAATCAGAATATTGAAGCCTTGGCATAGGACAGATCTCAGCAGTGCCTGTGCTCTGGATGGAGAGCAGGATGTACCTGCTGACTGGGGAGAGCTGCTGTTGCATAAGACATTTGCAGTTGTGATGAGACTGACACTAAAATGGAAGGTTTTCTGTTCCTTAGCTCCTCTCGTGCCTCCCCCCCTCCCTTTTTTTAAAGAGTATTCAAGCCTGAAAAGTTTTGTGGTTTAAACAGTTTTCATTTTATTCATTGTACTCGTGAAGTCACCATTTCAATTCAAATACTGTGTGTATTTATCCTGCAGTAGCAGGTAAATTACAAATGCATTTACTGCCATTTTACTCTTTTCCTTCATTTTTCCTTGGCAAAAGTGACCTGAATGTGATATTTCCAGAGCAGCATATTTGAGGGGTTTGGATTTGAAATAACCAGAGCTGAGAGTAAAACATGAAGTGATAATTTCCCCCCCTCCTTTTTTTTTTTTTTTTTTTTTTTTTTATGTTTTAAAATTAATGAGGAAAATCAAGTTGCCTTTGTAAAAGAGAGTCTACATCCCTTCTAATGAGGTGTGTTTTAGACCACAGAATCATAAAAAGACAGTTCCAACTCTGGTCAGGATTTCCAGTTCTTATCACAGGTTTAATAAATGATTTTGTGTTATAACAAAGAATTCTGCAGCTCATCCAATACAGTTTGGAGGCCTCCTGTGTATAAGCAGTGTTTCTGCTTAGGAGAATAACCTGCCTTAGGGGAATAAAAATCTAAATTGGGCTGGGAAAAAACCTCCCTTTGCTGCTGGGCTGATCCCCAGTTTCCTTCTCAGGTAGCCTGATCTTCCCCTTTTTCTGTTTTCCTCCTTCCTGAGTCTCTCTCCTAAACTCTTAGACTAAAACCAAGTAGGGTTTCTGTTCCCACCACATTTCTTGTGCATTCTCTTCTCTCAGTCTGTTTTGATTCCTGTAATCATGACAGTATTCCCAGAGTCCTGTAAAATTATTTTAATGATTCCAGATATAATTGCATGAAGATGAAGGAAGATAAGAAGCAGCAGGGGAGAGGTTTGATGTTCTTCCTTGCTGGGAGGAGATTGTTGTCTACGGATGCAGCCACTTGCCCCAAGTCACTTTTGGTTTCTCCTTTTATAAATAATTATTATTCTTTATGTCATTGCCACTCATCTGATTTGAGTTCTTTCTTTTCCCTGGAACTGGCCCAAACATTCCCATCCAGTCAGGGCTTTCTGCTTTTTTCACATTCTGACAATTTGCCTGTGTGTGACTCTCCCTGATCCCACATTTCTGCTTCTTCCTCATTCCTTTCAGCCCACGGTGTTTGGAGTTAATCCCATCACACATTGCTGTGTTCCAGCATTCCTCAGGTGTTTCTGTGGAGCTTCCTGGAGCTCTGGCTGTGTCTTCCCCACTCAGGAGAGGAGCAGTGGGATAGAGATTCTTAATAAATTTGGGTGGCTAATAAACCACCCAGAGCTGAGTGAGCACTCAAGAGAGTGAAGCCTTAATTGCTGATTGGAAACTCCTGACTTGTGACATTAAACTATTAAATTGAAATGCAGAAAGATATTCATAATCAAATTTGTGCCAAAGCATTGGAAGAGACAGTATGCTGTTCTGTGGGATAACCTCTTGTTTCTGGTTTGTTTTCTCCAGGTACTCCTATCAATAAACCACCAGTTCTGGGCTACAAGGACCTAAATCTCTTCAAACTTTTTCGGCTGGTTTATCAGCAGGGTGGGTGTGACAATGTAAGTGTTGGATGTTTCCTGAACTAAATATGTCCAATGGTTGTCCAGGGAAGCTGTGGCTGCCCCATCCCTGAGATTGTTCCAGGCCAGGTTGGAAGTAGCTCTGAGCAACCTGGTGGGAGGTGGGAGGGGTTGGAACTGGGGATGTTCTTTAAAGTCCCTTCCAGCCCAGACTGTTCTATGATTCTAAAAGCCTGTGGCTTGTGGCTGTGTTAGATATAACTCCTTAATGTTCTTGGTTAAAAAAAAAACCTTAAAAATTTCCTTTTCTCTTTCTTCTTTTCCCCATAAAGATTGAGAGTGGTGCTGTATGGAAGCAAATTTATATGGACCTTGGCATTCCTATTCTGAACTCAGCTGCTTCCTACAATGTAAAAACTGCTTATAGAAAGTAAGTCCTCATCTTGTGTAATGGTGGAAGTGTTTTTCCATGTTTTTAGCAGCATGTACAACATTCCAGCAATGTTTGATAGCTCAGTGAAACAGCACTTGCCGTCCTTCAGTTCAGGAACGGTGCTGAGGGTTGAAATGGTGGAGGAAGGGAGGGAGAGCTCAGGGCTGCCTGAGTTTTGTTCCTCCAGTACCTGAAAATTCTGCTCATTTTCTATCAAGAAACATTCCCTATCAGCATGTGAGGTGCTACTGCAGAATACAGCAAAGACATTTACAGGATGAGCTTTGGCAAATTGAGCTTTCCTGTCGTTCTGGAGGTGCTTTGTGCTGTGAGGAGGATTTTATCCCAGTTTCTTTTTAACTTCCTTCTGAAAAATGCTGATTGAAAAAAAAGGACATGTTTCAGATTGGATATTTAAATATAATCTTTGCACAATTTGTAAAACAATGGCTTTAGGGCATAGCTGTGTGCTTGTGGCAGTAAATAGTAAAAATCATTACTTGTAATGAACAAATGCATAAATCTCTTTTCTTCTGACCTTTGGTTTTCAGTTGTGTTTTAACTTTTGAAATGGAAACCTTCTAGGAATGGCATTTTTCAAGCTGATTTTCTAAATGAGAATTGTTGTCATTATTTATCCTCCTGGAAGTTTGACAAGAAACAATTGGGCTTTTTGAATAAAAGGAAAGAACGGGGTTCTCTTGCCTCGAACCTAAGGAAATTTGGAAATAGGGATGGCTAATGACTCAACTCATGTTAATGTTGATGAAGATGAACATATTGAGACATCTTCAGTGGGATTTGAACTGGGCACATGTTGAAGGTCTGTATTTTACAAAGAAGAGTGTTTATCATAAAAAAGAATAATTGGTAACTGTGTACTAGGTTGCTGTTACAGTGGAAATAACAATAATGTAGTTTGGACACGTGATATAGTGTGTTGTAATTGCATATTTATTCTTTGAGGAATAAGCTAATTTAATTCATCTCTCTCAGCTGTAACTGGATCAGAGTGTGCACAGGCAGTTACATGAACAAGCTCATGCATGGCTTTACTGTCAGGAATTCTTACCTGGATGGGGAGGAAGTCAAATATGTGGGAAGCACCTGTGTCTGTTCTTTCTCCCCACTTGACTTGTGTGCAAAATCGTTTCGGTTCAAAATCTCTGGCTTTTTACTTTTGTTTATTTGGGTTTGTTCAGTGGCCATTGTTATTATTATTATTATTTTTCTTTCTTTCCTGAAGTTTAACGAGCAGGAAAATGGGGGTTTTTATGAGAAAATAAACCTCAAAATATAAGTGGCACCTGATTTATCTGCAGGTATCTGTATGGTTTTGAGGAGTACTGTCGCTCTGCAAACATTCAGTTCAGGACCATCCACCACAATGAGCCAAAGGTGGTAGAAGAGCCACAGAAACCCGTGGAACCAATGGAGGAAAGTGGGAAAGAGGAACAGAAAATGCCCCCAACGGAAGTTAAAAAAGAAGCAGAAGAAAATTACTCCAGCAGTGAAAGTGAAAAGGAAGAAGTAGAACTGAGATCCCCCAGGGTGAGTGGTTTGCACTGATTTCTGGGTAGCCCTTGGGTGGGTGAACAGTTTCCACGGGGGGTTTTTCCCTGGGGATCACCTGCACTTTGGAATTGGTAGGTCCTGGGAGTGTTCACTGTTAGTGATGTTCTACCTGTCGGTGGAGTCGGGTTTGATTATTCCTTCGTATCCCACCCCATCCGTGGCATTTCTCAGGCTGTGTCAGGTGGCTTTTGATTCAGGGATTGGTCAGGAGCTCCTGAGAGCTGTGAATCATCAGAGCAGGGAAACACAGCAGGACAGTCTTGGCTGTGACACAGTCTTGGCTGTGGGGGAGGATTTCCACAGGCACAAACAGCACTGGGGGCTGTTGGAATATCACCCTGTAGCACTCCTGGTAATTCTGTTAACAGGACATTTTGTGTTCCCTAGAGCGTGACTGCTGAAGGACAAGGAATTACTTCTTTCTAATTGTTCAGACTGTGAGGGTTCTGTTGGACTGAAAGGAAATCCTGTGAAAGCACTTCCTGCAAACCAGCTTTTCCAGCAAATATTGACCTTTTAAATGAATACATGAAAAGACACAGTGTGAGCACCAGTTGAGATCTCTGTCTGACTGCAGGTGCTTTTTCCAGGCTGTATCAGCCCCAGTGAACTTTCTGACACGACATTAGTGTTGGTTTTAGAGTGAGTGTTCATTTATTTTTGAGGGTTTTTTTGAGAAAACCGGTAAGATGATAAAGAAATGGTAAAATTTTTTTGTCTTTTTTATCATTGGCTGTCTTTTGTTTATTTATTAATTATTAAATATTTGGTTATATATTTTATTCCTTTTTAATCCACTCACCAGCCTTTCATTAATTACTATTTTCCAAAGTATTTGCCTTTATGCTGCTGTGAATTGTAATTATTACAGTGCCTTCATTACTGTCATCTTTGGATGCCCTTCAGACAATTAATCTTGCATTCATAACGTATTTTAAATGTTCTGATTGAAAAGCAACGATCCTATCGAGAGCCTTTTAATAAACAAAACAATAAACCTGTCCTAATCCCCCAAGAATCAGCTGCATCAGACATTTTGACCCTTTTTGGCAGAGCAACAAACCTTTCAGGTCCAAGCAGATGTCCTGAAATCCTCCAGCAGTTAATCAGAAACTCACCCTCTTCATACCAAATAAAGTGATTAACAAAACCTTTTAATCTTAATATTTTAGAACATATATTTTTTGTGTTATCTCCAGCCTTTCTTCTGTACAGGAGTTGCACACCTCACTTTTTCTGCTGAGATTTGGAGAGGCTACAGAGAAAACAATTGCCAGGGGTCATTAAAGAGCTGCTGTTTCTGTTTTAGGGACGAAGGAGACTCGCCCGTGATGCAACCCCTGCTAAAAAAGATGGGGAAGAGGATAAAACAGCAGACAAATTAAAAGAGAGTGGCAGAGAGAACAAAGATCCAGAGGAGACACCTGAGAACCCAGAGAAGAAAGACCACGAAACTCCACTGGGGAGGAAAAGCACACCAAAGCAAAAAGAGAGGAAAATCAAAAAACAGGAGGATTCTGACAGGGAGTCAGATGAGGAGGAGGAGAGGCAGAGGGAGAGGTAAACACTGCCCTGGCTCCCCTGCCTTTGGGATGATGGAGTTGTGCTCCAAACAGCAGGATCTACAGGGCTGGGGGTCTTCCCAAAGAGTGGGAATTGGGGACTGGCCAAGGTGGTGTGGGGGTTTTATCCCCCTGATATCTCCAGGCAGCACAGCTGCGACTGTGCCAAGTGTTGTGTGGGTGGGAAACACTTTGGGGACACCTCTCTGGGCAATCGGAATAGAAATGGCAAATCACTCCTCTCCTGTGCTTTTATTGAAGTGTTTTCTGGTGGCTGCTGAAGCTCCAGGCTGCTTGGTTTTATTGTGTCATCAAAGGGGTTTTCTTTAATCAACGTGGATGCTGCTCCTCTTTCACTGAAGGCCAGCAAATCCATTTCATTAAAAGTAAACCCGTAGTCTTTTTTTGGTGACTTTTTTGTAGTTTCACTTCTACTTTATGAGAAATTGGAGGTAAAAATAGGTTAATTTTAATTCTTGCAAATATAATATCTATATATAATATAAAAATATTAGCTGTAGATGTAATAAGAGGCAGATAGAGCTAATAGGAGCTGTGCAGACACTTTTAGTCTTGGTTAAACACTCTTGTAAGCAGCTCTTTTCCAGTGGAATGGTGTTTGCATTTATGAGAGGATCACTGTGATGGCAGTTTAAACTTGTGTCCAGTTTGTAAATGTTAACTGTGAGTTCTACAGTTGAGCAAACTGTGTCGAAATAAAAACTGAAGCTCGTTCTTCTTGTCTTACTCAGGGACCAGACACTGAGTTATTCCTTTATGTATTAGCAAAATGTTAGTTTAAAAAACAATCTTTAGGCCTCCAGGTTGTTGTACACCTAAGAAATTGAGTTTAAATTACCATTTTCTAGGTATTTTTGGTACTCCCCCTGAGTCCAGCCCAGCTTTAGAGGCAGTGCAGGGCGCAGAAAAGGAAAAGAATTTTCCTTGCAGCTTTTTTCTTTGTAGTAGCTTGGCTACACTCATTAAATGTTTAAACATCACTGTCACTAATTAGTGGGCATTTTAAATACATTTTCCTGCAGGGAGGAACTGGAGAACAAAGGAGAATCAGAAGGTGAAGAGGATGAGGAGGACACAGAACCCTGCCTGACTGGAACCAAAGTGAAAGTAAAATATGGACGTGGCAAGACTCAAAAAATTTATGAAGCCAGTATTAAAAGCACAGAAATTGATGATGGAGAAGTTTTATATTTAGTTCACTACTACGGTTGGAATGTAAGGTGAGGAGAACGAATTGCCTCTCATTTCTTTGTTGAAAGGCTTTACTTGCCGAAGAAATGTTTGTTTTTAAGAAAGTAGAGGGGAAGCTGAGCAGTGACCTGGCTCCAAATGGAATTATCAACGTAACTTTTCAGTGTTAGGGATTTTGTTGGTGGTGTTGCACTGAAATGTCAGAAAATACTTCTGTGTTTCCAAGTTTCCACCCACCTTAGCAATCAGTCCTTGCTCCTTACAGGAGCACCCCTGAATTTTTATTGTGTCAGCACGGGCAGACTTTTTTATTTAAGGGAGTCCTTGATAATGGTGAAAGAATCTGCAATTAAGGGTATGAAGCCCTGGAATTTTGGCAACAAAATATATTTTTGCACTGACTGTTAAGTGATTGTAAAGAGGACAGAGGGGAGGACAGGGCAGAGCAGCAAAGAGCTACAGGAAAAAATATATTAAATGGAAAAAAAGGGTTGGAAGGGACCTTAAACCCCATCCAGTTCCACCCCCTGCCATGGGCAGGGACACCTTCCACTAGCTCAGGTTGCTCCAAACCCCATCCAACCTGGCCTTGAATTTTCCCTACCTCTCAATAATAAATATTTTCCATAATTTCCAGTCTTTTAATCCTCCTATTCAACCAGCATTTTCCTGTGGTATCAGTGACAGCAGCGTGTTGTTATTCCCTTGTAGATACGACGAGTGGGTGAAAGCTGATCGGATTATCTGGCCTGTGGACAAAGGAGGACCAAAGAGAAAACAGAAGAAAAAAACAAAAGTAATTATCTCAATAAGTTTTTTTGTAGTGCAATATTTAATGACTGAAAGGAAAATAAAAGAAAAAAGGTTATTAAAAAAAAAAATAAGGAAAAGGTTATTCAGTCCACGGTTTAGTTTTTTAATAGAGGAGATGGAGAAGAGCTTTGGTGATCAGCAATGAACCATTAACAAATATTGTTTTTTCCCTCTATTTGAAAAAAAGGTATGCAGCCCATGTCTAGTTTTTTTATTAGAGCAGAAGGAGAAAGGTTTTTTGATGACCAGCAGGGAAACTCCACTAAAAACTCCTCATTTTCCCCTCAGAGCAAAGAGGACGGTGAAAAGGACGAGAAGAAGGACGAGGAGAAACAAAAATCCAAGCGTGGGCGACCCCCTCTGAAATCTACTCTTCCCTCCAACACATCTTGCAGCTTATCCAAAACAGCCACCAGTGAAGGTAAATCTGGAGCCAGAGGGGCACAACCTGTCCCGTCCCCCCCATTCCCAAATGGAATGAAGGTACCTCCGTGCACTCGTGTCCGGTGTGGAGGTGCCTGGGAGTGGGGCTGGCACTGCCCTGGCACAGCTTCCAGTGCTGCTTCACCAGGCAGTGCAGCTGCACTGCCACAACACAGATTTTGGTGTTGTTTTTTAATTTTTTTTTGGGTGCAGATTTGACTCCACGAAAATTAATCCTTTCGATTTCAATTTTAGCAGCACCTCGCAGGCAGACGAGACGTAGCTCAGGAATGTTTGATTCTGATAGAGGATCAAACGGTGAGTGATCTCAGTCCTGTGTATACTTTGGAGGTTTTTTTCAGTACCATTCTCAAAAGAAGTTTGATTTTTACTTTTTTTTTACCTTTTTTTTTTGTTGTTGTTGTTGTTATTTTTTGGTTTCTCCTTGTGAACTTTATTGAGGAATTAGCTGAGCTCACACTGCTGAGGGGGGCACAGTTTGCTCCCAGGAAAGCTGTGGCTTGGAAATGACTTTACAAATCATTCCATGTTCCTCAGCCAGAGCCTTTCAGTGCTGATGCTGGACAGACCAAATCCAGTGCTATAAGACAGTCTGTATTCTGGTAATTAAACCCTCAACCTCAGTGCTACATCATCCACCAGAGCTGTTAATTAGACACAAAGGGCAGCGACATTTTTGATATTTCTTAAGTCTTGAGCAAGAACTGAAGTGAAATCACTGTTAGTGCAGCTCCCTGAAAAATCTTCTGGTAAAGTACCAGTGCTTGCTCTGTGTGTGGTGCATCACTTGCACAGAAGTTTATTATTAGAAGGGTTTTATTTTTTGATTTTGTTTTGGTTTTTTTTTTTCTGTTTGGGGCTGCATGGAGGGGAGCAGTATTGATTTTGGGGTTTGTAATCTCAGGTGGGAGAGGCAACATCCACAGGTAAATTGTGAGAATCTGTAAAACTCCTCTTGCTGCTGTGCACTGTAATTCGTTTCTTTTGGCTTGGCTGGGAAATAGTAGCAGGAGAATTACAGGCATGAACTAAATCATGTGACTAAAATCATCACCCAGATGCTCCTTGAACTCTGATAGTACCACTACTATTGGAGTTTCCTAGAGATTTTAGGTTAAAATAAAAACTGTAGCAAGTGTGTTGGATAATACAGGGTTTTTTAAACTGATGTAACACCCCGGATTACTGAAAAGAGAGGGGTTCTTGGGTGGTTCAAATGGGAAATTGTGTTGTAATTAATTATTTAGGGTGCTGTTTGCTTCTTTTTTTGTGATTTCTTTAGACTCTGGCACATCTGACAGTGAAGCAGATGAGTCACCTGAAAAGAATTCGAACGAAGAATTTTCTCCAGAAACTTCAGAACTGGAAAAAGGCGAAAAACTCCACGATGAGAAGTTGGATGAAGAGAACCCAAAGATCCCTCACGCGCTGAAAGAGAACGACAGGACTCAAGGGCAGCCACTAGAAACACTGAAACTGGAAGTTGAGGAAAGTGAACAGATAGTTCAGATTTTCGGAAACAAACCGGATCAAATCGAAGAAATCAAAAGAGAGGTTGAAAAATCGCCCAAGGGAAAAGGGAGAAGGAGCAAGACAAAAGATCCCTCTCTAGAGAACGCCAAGGTTGCGCCAGGAGGCCAAGAAGAGGCGGCAAATGAATCTCTTACGGAACCTGAAAGGTTGGATGGGTCTTCCTTGGACTGTAAAGAAAGTTCCAGCACTCCTGAAAGCGAGACAGAACCTTCTACGAAAGATAAGAAGCTTTTGAAAAGGAAAACTCTGGAACAGGCGTCGCCCGAGAAGAGAAATCGGCGAGAGAGCGAGATGGAAGTGCCAAATATCGTGTCTGAGGAGAGGACCAGTGAATGTACCGGGGCAGAGGAATGTAGAGGCACCAACGCTGAGGAGCCCCTCAGAGCTGGCCACGAGGAGATGCCAGCCCTGGTGGCAGAACCAGCCCCCCACGGGCAGGAGCCGAGGAGTGACAACTTCCAACGTGTCACTGAAGCCAACGAGAACGTTCCCTTGAAGGACGAGGACGATGCGATGCCCCAGATCGGGCCCGAGACTCTGCTGTGCCACGAGGTGGACCTGGACGATTTGGACGAGAAGGAGAAGAGCGGGAGTGAAGATGCAGCGGCGGAAAAGCCGGATCCCGGCGCTCCAAACCCCCAGCCCTCTGCCTTCCCCCCCGCCGCCCCCTCGGCCTTCCCGGTGGCCTCTCCCCTGGCCCTCAGCCAGGACGAGTCGCGCAGCGTCAAGAGCGAGAGCGACGCCACCATCGAGGTGGACAGCGTGGCCGAGGAGTCCCAGGAGGGGCTCTGCGAGAGCGAGTCTGTCAATGGCTTCGAGGCCAGCACCACCTCGAGCAATTGTAGCATTGCTGTGCAAGAGAGGGAGATGGGGGAGAAAGGTGAGCGTTCCTGGGAAGAGTCAATCCCTGATGTGATTGTTTCAAGAGTTGCCTTAAGTCTGGTGTCAGACTTTGCTAAAAGTTGGTTGGTGGGTTTTATCTGCTGGTTATAGAATCACAGAATGGTTATAGAATCACAACCCATCCAGTTCCACCCCCTGCCATGGACAGGGACACCTCTCACTATCCCACGTTGCTCCAAGTCCCGTCCAGCTTGGCCTGGAACCCTTCCCGGGATGGAGCAGCCACAACTTCTCTGGGCAACCTGTGCCAGGGCCTCCCCACCCTCACAGCCAAGAATTTCTTCCAATATTCCATCTAACCCTGTCAGATTGAAGCCATTCCCCCTTGTGCTGTCCCTCCAGGCTCTTGTCCCAAGTCCCTCTCCAGCTCTCTTGGAGCCCCTTTAGGCACTGGAAGGTGCTCTGAGGTCCCCCCAGAGCCTTCTCCTCTCCAGGCTGAACAGCCCCAACTGTCTTACCCTGTCTGCTTTTAAATTTCTCTTTGTTGCTTATAAAAAGAGCTTGTTAGGAGCAGAAATACTTGAGTTACCTTATGTTTTGTGTTTTGTTTATTGTTTTTCCTTCTCAAATAGGTCAAAAAAGACCCAGTGACAGCAACACTGGAACGCTGGCAAAGAAACAGAAGCGAACTCCAAAGCGAAGCAGCACTGCAGCCAAAAATGAGAAGAATGGAACAGGTACATTCCTGCCTGGGGAGGAGGGGGAAGATCCTCCTGGCCTGCAAACATGGATAAGAGCCCACTGTTCTCACTGGTACCCACTGTTTGCAGTGAATGGCACTTCCCTGCCAGGGATTTTCACTTTTATTCGTCATGGTTATTGGTGGTGAACAACTGGAGGGAACTTCTGAGCTCTGTGGTAGTAGAGCTACTGGGAATCTCTTGGCTGTTTTATATTACTTAGGAAAAATTACGAATTGTGTACATTAGCAGTTACTAAACATTTCCCATCAGGCTGATGTTTATATATATTAGGTTGGTTATGAATTTTGGGAGAGGGCAACTTTAAAGTCTTACAATAGGTGTTTGTGGTGGGGAAAAAAAAAATTGCCATTTATGGAGTGCAGAAAAATGTTTGATGCTAAAGAACAGCTTTTCAGCCAAAGGAAGTTTTTTCTTTAAAGTATGTGGCTATTTTCTAACTTTCTGTAGAAATCTAGATTTTTATGGTTCTGTAGCTCATCTTCCATAGATTCAAAGACTGGTTTGGGGTGGAAGGGACCTTAAAGGTCATCTCGTTCCAACCCCCCTGGGTAACTTTATGGAAAAGGAGCCACTTAAAATATTCCAACGCAGGAAAACATTTTGCTGTTGATGTCAGAATCACAGAATCACAGTCTATGATTTGGGGTGGAAAGGACTTTAAATAAAAATAAAAATAAAAACCTGGCAATTAACATGGGGATCTGAAATACTTGAATATATCAGCTTAGAATTTTCTGTTACGTGTTTAAACTTTCATGCTTTTAGTCTTGTTTCAGAATTGTTGCTATAGATGTGTAAATCAATTTGGCCACTATTTACAATCACTACCTACCTTTAGTAAGGCAGGGTTAATCTTTAAGAAAGGAATTCTAATGTCTCTTTTTATAATTGAAAGCCAAAATAGGTGATTTAAGATAGTTTACCAGTGCTCTAATATTCAAATTTTGATGAGTTTATTTACTCTTGTTTTTCACTGCGACCACTGTTTTTAAAATGTTGAGATGGGATTTTTTTTTTTTTTTTTTTTAATAAATCCACATTAAATTCTTCTCATTGCAGGACAAAGCAGTGACAGTGAAGACCTTCCTGTGCTGGACAGTTCCAGTAAATGTACTCCTGTCAAACACATCAACGCAGCCAAACCCCAGAAGATTTCCCGCTCTCCTGCCAGGGTGATTTCCCCTCACATCAAAGATGGGGACAAGGACAAACACAGGGACAAGCACCACCACCAGAATGCTTCCCCCAGAGTCTACAAGTGGAGTTTCCAGCTCAGTAAGAATTCTTTAAATGACTTGAATTAGAAGGAATTTCAAAGAAAATTTGTTTTGAAAGAAAAAAAAAAGTGCAAAATGTGGGGATTTTATTATAAATAAATTAGGTGTGGAATTATGACATAGCTGTGGAATTGTGTTTCCTCCCATGCTGTGCCTTGTATCCACTTAAGATTTTGCTTAAAATGGCCTTGATAAAGCTGTTTTTGATTCCCACTTCTAGATGAACTGGACAACATGAGCAGCACTGAAAGGATCTCCTTCTTACAAGAAAAACTGCAGGAGATAAGAAAATACTACATGTCCTTGAAGTCAGAAGTAGCAACCATAGACAGGAGAAGGAAAAGATTGAAAAAGAAAGACAGAGAAGGTAACTTTGAGATTTGCTTTGTGCTTCCCATGATAAGTTAATTTGTTTGAAAATGTTTAACTCGATGCATCTGGAGTTTAAATGATTATATTTTTGAAAAAGTGTTATCATCTCTTTGTGTATATATTTAGAATATTTGTGGCTTTTCAGAGAAATATTTACTGACTGTTTTATAACTGCATATTAGAAGCTTGGACTTCTTAGTCTGAGTTTTCAGTCAGGGTAGTGACTCCCCTGAGTTATCTCTCAATAGATGGGTGAGGTTAATCCACCTTCTGTGAATAGAGCAGTGAAAGCAGTTGCTAAAAAAAAAAAAAAATCTGTGTTGTGTGATCATTTTAAACAACAGAAGAACCAAGGGAAACATCAGTGGGAGCTGTGGGAGCTGTGCCTTGCTGACCTCACGCTGATGATTGTTGTGTGTGTTCAGTGTCCCACACAGGAGCATCCATGTCCTCTGCCTCCTCAGACACTGGGATGAGCCCCTCCTCGTCCTCTCCTCCCCAGAACGTGCTGGCTGTGGAATGCAGGTGATGCCCCTTGCTCTGCCCTGCCACGGACACAAACCCTCAACTTCAGCCCCAGGAAAAGCACTCGACTGGTTTGACATTGCCAAGAACATCCTGTCCACACTTCCACTGCTGGACTCTACCTGTTCTCCCCCCTCCCCCTCCTCTTCTTTTGTTTCATTTACCCTTCCCAGAAGCTCATTGGTAACTGAAGGTTTGTAGGCACAAAGTGACATCCTTGTCATCGTGTTTGTTTTATTTTTTTCTTTGTTTCTCGTTCGTTTGTTGTTTTGTGTTGTCTTTTTTTTTTTTTTTTTTTTTTTTTTTTTTTTTTTTTTTTTTTTTTTTTTTTTTTTTTTTTTTTTTTTTTTTTTTTTTTTTTTATTATTATTATTATTATTTTTTCTTAACGCAGAGAAAAGGGCACTTATCAAAATTTGCAAAGTTCTGTCCAATGAAGCATTCAGGTGTTGTAGGGTGATCTTAAACAAAAAAAAAAAAAAAAAGCAAGTGCACCAAGCAGACATCAGAGTATTAATTCCCCCAAAAGAACTGAGCAGCTGCTGCACTTTCCCCCAGCTGGTGGTGGTAACTCTTGGTGAGTAGTTCCCCTCTGTGGAAGCACTTGCTCTCCAGAACTGCCAAAGTGATGTGTTCAGCAACGTGCCCAGTTCGAAAAGGTGTAAATGGGACAAAATAAATTGTGAAAGGAAGTGTAGTTGACTGAAAACTACAGTTGTAATAAGTCTTCCACTTTTTATAGGATTTTTGAGCACACAATTATGCAAATATTTTAAATGTTTATTAATGTTTACAGTGGAATTGTGAATAGGTTTTCAGTGGACTATCTTATCCCTTGACAAAAATATTTTGTCTTTTTTCTATGTAATTTCAGAGTTTTTATTTTGTTACAAAAAGACGAAAAATGAAATATATAACAACAATGAAGTTATTTAACAAGATTTCTAAAGCTGAAATTTTTGTGTAAAATAAGGTATCTTGCAACTTGTTAAATATATTTATTCAGACATTGGATGTTGTATTTTTATGTATTTTTTAAAATATTAATAAAATTGGAAAAAAAAAAAAATCCTAGGTTAGTTCACTCTTTGGATAAAAAAAAACCATCCTTCTCAGTCCTGGCTCTTCAGGAGGAATTATCCAGTAGCCATTCCTGAACTTCCAGTGGGTCTGTCTACCTGTCCTCCCCCCCCACAGAACTGTCAGTGGGCATCTGGCTTCAACTAAAAACTTGATTTTGGAGACTTTGGCAGTCCTAGTACTTAAAAACTTTGTTTGGGAGGAACAAAAATGTCTTGGCTTGCCCTTTAAGATCCTTTTGTCACAGGCTCTTCTGTTTTGCTGTACTGCCGAAAAAAAAGTCCCATCTCCCAGAGTTGAGATGCAACAAGAAAGTAAAAACAATTAAAAAAAAGCAACTGTGTGTGCTCTGTCTGTGGATTGTGCCACGGGCAGATGCAGTTTGTAAATAACTCTTCCCCCCCCCAAAAAAAAAAGAAAAAAAAAACCATGTATTTAAGACAGTTTGCATATACATTCTGTATAAAAGTGATTTTTTTAATCGATTTTTTTATTCATGTTTGTACATTGCAAGGGGGGGTGTGAGCCCCCCCTTTTTTTTTCTGTGTTTAATAATTCTGTAGAGTAAAAGCATAGATGCTCTAGACTGTATAGCAGATTGGGCTCCCAGGGCAGAGGGGCAGAAGGAAACACTAGTGATGGTGTAGCATTGCTGACATTGATGTTTCTGGAAATCTCATTTCGCAGCATTTGTCAACTTGTGATTCCGATTCCTTCCATTTTCACAGAGAAAAAAAAGAAAAATTAAAGGAAAAGTCCTCTTGTAAATGCACTTTTTCTGTCTTTTCTTAAGCGAAGCAGAGCTATTTCAATGTAAGGTAAATATGGAGCTCACTAGACAGTGCTAATAAAGGCCATGTTTTAAACATAGGCTTTATATTCTATTTTTATTTAAGTGATTGTTCTTGTAAATGTCTGGGCTTAACCTAAATAGGAAAATTAATCTCCATAAATTACTGTAAAGACTTTTTTTTTTCCAGAGCTAACTCTTACTGTTCACCTGACAATAGCTACGAATAAAAAGCTGTGCTCATTCAAAAGGAAGTAACCTGGGTCCACATGCTTAATAATTTACAGAAGGAAACTGAAAATCTGCTGAAATAACAGATGAATTATATCTTGTGCAGATACCTTAACACTGTGAGATCCCAAACAGGCACATCTCCCCCCGCTGAGCACGGAGGATGGAGGAGCTGAGCCCATCCCAGGGGGTGTTCCCAGCTGAGCTGCTGCTCCCTGGCCCTCAGGAGGGGTTCAAACACTGCCTGGAGGACTGAAGGTAACAATTCCTAAAGGTTTGGAAACCGTCCTGAGGGGTGGCTGCTCCTTGATATGGAGAATTTACTCCCTCCCTGCCCTTCCCACCTGCTCAGCTCGCACTGGGCTGGTGGGAACACCCCCAGAACCAGCTGACGTTGTTATTGTGGCACAAAACCTGCAGGAAAAGGGGGATTGGCAGAGCCTCCACTGATTTTATCCTGCTGGGAAGGAGCATGTCATGGAACCAGTTTGTACAGGAGATTTTACAGGAGTTTCCTGTGATGCTTTAAAAAAAAAAACCACAGGGAAGAGAAGAGTAACTGGGTAGCTTTGGGTTATCCTGGATTAAAGGTGAAACCAAGAAGAAAACCCAGTAAGATCCATAATTTCTACCTTTGCTGTAATCCCCTTATTGATGCTTTGACAAAAAAAAATTCCAAAGCATCTTCCATGGCCTTGGATGAAAACTTATAATGTTGAAGACCCAGAATTAGGATTGTACAGAGTTGGGATTTTTTCAAAGAAGACATCAGGTATCGTGTTTGCAAGAGCAAGCAAAAATCATCCTCTTGGCAGCCTTTGTGCTGTTCTGCTGCCTCCTGATCTCCAAGTGATTCTTGTTTTATTTCAAGCTTACTGAGGAGATGAGAACAAAATTACAGTCCCAAATTCTGTTAGAATTGTTAAAAAGAGCAGGGCTGTAAGAAAATCAGACTCTTCCCTCACCTCCTGCAGTTGATGCAAAGAACTGGCAAATTTCTGGCAGATTTCTTAACTTCACGTGCAAGGGCATAAGGTAAGAAAAGATTCATTTTCCTACTTGTTTGGGGGTTTTATTTTCTTCCCACCAAGTGTGTCAGCTGCACCTTGTCCTGTAGAGTTTCTATTTTCTCTCTGATGTGGAAGTTCAGGAACCCCCACTTAAATCTCTGCTTTTGGCTCCTCCATCACATTTCTCGTGTCTGAGAAACTTTTCTGTTGCTCAATCCGAGTGAGCAGCTGAGGCAGGAGAGGCACAGATGTCACAGCAATAATAACAAGCCATGATTTCAAATCAAAGCAGATTTCCAGGAGTAATTATCAGTGAAAGAAAAGCATGTCAAGGGCAAAGAAATCTGTGTCTTCATGAAGTAAAACCTGCCTGACCTTCATGGGAACAGAGGGTCTTTAATTCGAAGGACAACAGCAGAAAAGGTGATTAAATCACTTTTTGTGGTAATGTGCACACTTGAGTCTCATTTTTCTCTAAAGGTGCAGGATTAGAATGGGCAGAAATTTAAAAAATAGCTGCATATTATTTGATGTAGATGGGACCGTGTAGTAGTGGCTGCCAGAATCACTCAGGAAGGCTTTGATGTGGACCTGGAAAGGGAATCTGAATCTTAGGATTGTCAACTCCTGTGCCTCAGTCAGACTGCTGAGAAATCCTTCTCTCTGCAGGCAGGTTTGTCAGCCAGGTGGAATTTCACATTTAAAAAAAAAAAAAATGTTCTTGTAACATGTTGTTCTTTTCCCCATTAAAAATATTCTTGGATGGCTGAGGCAGCCAAATGGATTTTCTGGGCAGCATCTACTGGAATTCTTTTCCAGCAGTAAATGTAAGTAAGTGCTGTTGCCTTCTTTGTAAGAAAAGAGCAGGTTTGGTTTGATGGCTTGAAACAAATGTGACATGAGCTGAGAGCCACGTTTAGCAGCTGAGACAAAAGATGAATGTGGTCACAAAAGCTGAGTGAGCTGCTCGCTGTGCCCTTGTGCCTTGGCAGAAATTATGCACTAAAATCTACGTTATTTTTACTTCTCTCTACTTGGGATTTTATTATTTGCAGGATAAAGGCCACCCCTGGAGATGTGGGGAACATCATGAAGCAGTGGAAGCAAAGGGGATGTTGCCAGAGGCTGACTCACTGTAATTCCAGGGCTCAGGAAAAAGACATTTCATAACTGGCTCACAACTATTAAGCTGTTGCTCTCAAATTTTGAGAAAACCTGTCATTCTCCCATATTGCCTAACACCAAATAGGAATGTTTTTTTTTAAAAAAGTCTCTGTGACAAAATTATTCACCTTTATCAGTTACCACTCAGTATCTGGAATTTAATAGGGTTTTGGATCAGCCCAGGGGCAAACCCTGCATGGTCCTTGAAGGAAAACTGCAAAGATGAGGCCGTGCTGGCTGTGAAACCAAACCTTGCCAAGGGCAGGGGCTTTCCTGGGGTCCTTGTTTGGAGTTCCCTTTGCTGTTCATGTTGCTGTTCCTGCTCCTTCCCATTCCAGAGGGGTTTTGTGGTTGTCTCTCTGCTCCTCCCAGGAACTCGAGCACGTTCCCATCCCAGGCGGCGTCTCCAGCTATTTCCGAACTCCTCCCCTAATCCCTCATCTGGGTACAGCTTGACCTAATTTGCCAAGCTCCTGCCAGCCCTGCCAGGTTCAGAAGGAGGGGTAAAATGTGGAATTCGTGTGGAACACTTTGTTGTGTTGCACAAGGCTGGTTTCTCTTTCTGTTTTAACGAGGCCCCTGTTTATGTGCATGTGCAGCTCGGAACAGGCTCCTGATGCTCCTTTATTTCCTGAGAATGACTTCCCTCAGGAATGGGGAAAGTGCAAAGCTAGTTTAAAAATGGGGGGAAAACAGAAGATGAGAAGAAAAAAAACCCCAAGCCCTTGATTCCTTCTGCTCCTGCTCTGCTTCTCACCCTGCAGGGGAGCACTGGGGGCCATCCCAGGGCACAGAGGGAGGGGCAGAAGCTCAGGAGCAGTGGCTGAGGGGGCAGGAGAGCCCCTCTCTGCCAGGGAAGTGCTTTGGCACTGGAATTAGTAAGGAACAAAGTTTTATGTTGGTCTGTGCAGGTATTTGAGTGTGTTTAACTCAAGACTGTGAGAGCAGCCCCACTTAATCCTGTGGGAATAATTATAGGAATGTCATTCACAGGCAGTGCAGGAGGGAGCTG